TGCCTTCTGGAACTATCCTAAGTAAGATTAATTCCTCCTTCCTATGACACCCCCTCAAATACTTCAAGACAGAAATCATGTCTTACTTTCTCCAAGATAAACACCCCTGGCTCCTTCAACCCTTTCTCACTTGGCACAGTTACAAGGCGGTCACCGGGGGCTTCATGCTAAGTCCTGCTGTCCCATCACCTTGTTCACGCAAACACTCACGGGGACAGATCTCAGGCGACTCCAGGAGAGCCTGCCCGGGCCACCTGTGTAGGCTCTGGGTGTAGTCACCGGCCTACACCCTGGGCCTCAGACTCATCTCTTCTGCTCATCCACCAGGATCCTGACTTAGACTCATGATGATCATGGCATTTCTCATGATATTGTAGGCCTGCAGCCCAAATAAAGTGGTCAGAAGGAGAGTACTTGGAGGCCAGAAACAGGATGAGGAATTTGCCTGGTATAATGAGAAGGATTAATGACTTCAGAAGAGGAAGACATTAAGAAAGGGATGGGCTCTTGGAACCAGGGTCCCAAGAGCTGGCTTTGGTGGTACCGACCTGCCCTGGGACGAGCCTCCTCCTCCAGGAAGCTCTCCTGACCTGGGGTCGCTTGGGGTGCGGGTCCCACCCCCTGTCCCCAGGGCTGGTTTCACCACACTCTCCTGCGGTCGTCTGTGCTCGTGCTGGCCCCCCAGCCACATGTCTCTGTGCTCCCCGAGGGATGGGCTCACGTCTGGCGCTGGAGAGCCTTGCTCAACAATGGGCACATATCCGGCCATCACGTGTGCTCCGTGAGCTGAGCAGCTGTGGGAGGTCTCTCTCCCGGATGTCCGCACCTTCCAATACAAATCTGGTCTCACAAGGACCTCAGGGGCTCACAGGTTCCCTGGACAACAGACATGAGCGTCCGTGTCAGAGACCAGGTAACCCCACGGCATGACTGGATCGTGTCTGGGGAATACATCAGCTTCCGAGGGCTCTCCCACAGTCGCTGGGGCTGACCAATTCTAGAGCACCGTCAGGACTGTTTCTAGACCTCAGAGCTGAGGTCCAGGCTCTGAACAATGTGAAGGCAGTGCTGCTTTATGAGTTCTTGTCTTGAGTCTAGCCAGGGGCCTCGGGCAAGCAGCACCCCAACAATTTTGTGCATTACGGTTTAAGGAGGAAAAAATATTTATAAATAAAAAATACATAAACTAAAAAATATATACACTTACATGTACATATGTCAAGTTGATACATGTATACATGCAGCCAACATTAAACGCTGCCAACTCCTGGAAACATTAAATCAAACTTCGTGTTATGAACTGTTTACCTCACCTGCCATTACCCGACACAGCACATCTGGATTTCAGCACAGATTTACAAGGTATGCTAAAAGGCAAGAACAAAACACAGCCTGAGGAGACAGAGTAAGCAACATTATCAGACTCAGTTATGACACAGACCTTGAGATTACTAGACAGGGAATTTAAAATAACTATAATTACTATGTTAAGAGCTCTAATGGGAGGACAGACAATAGCAAAAACAGATAGCTAATGCAAGCAGAGGGATGGAAACTCCAGGAGGAAAGCAGAAGGAAATGCTAGAAATAACAAACACTGTAGAAATGAGGACTGCCTTTGATAGATCGTCAGTAGACTGGACATTGCCAAGGAAAGACTCAGTGAGCTTGAAGACATGTTGATTGAAACTCCCAAAACTAAAATGCAAAGTGAAAAAAAAGAGTGAAAAAAATCCAGAACACTATACCCCCAAACTCATAGTACAATTTCAAATGATATAATGCATGTGCAATCACAATACCAAAGAGAGAAGAAAGAGAATAGAACCAATGGAATATGTGAAGAAACAATGTCTGAGAATTTTTCAAAATTAATGACACCAAACCACAGACACAGGAAGCTCAGACATGACCAAGCAGTATAAATAACCAAAAAGCAAAACAAAATGAACTACTGAGGCATGTCATAGAACTACTGAGGTTTTTTTGCAGAAAACCAAAAGACAAAAAAGTCTTGAAAGAAGCCAGAAAATTTAAAAACAAAAACAAAAACAAAAAAGTTCCACACCATCTGTAAAAACACAAGGATAAGAGTTCTGTGGACTTCCCATCAGAAACCATGGACACAAGAAGAGAGAATATTGATTGATTGATTCATTCATTCATTCATTCATTCATCAGCAGGCTCCACGCCCAGCATGGAGCCCAATGTGGGACTCAAACTCACAACTGTGAGATCGAGACCTGAGCTAAGATCAAGAGTCAGATACTTAACCGACTGAGCCACCCAGGTGCCCCAAGAAGAGAGAATATTTAAAATGTTGGAGGAAAATAAACACCAACCTAAAATCCTATGTCCAGTAAAATTATCCTTCAAGAGTGAAGGAGAAATAATGACTTTCTGTGAAAAACAAAAATAGAGAGAATTCATCACCAGCAGAGCTGTCCTGCAAGAAATGTTAAAAGAGGTTTTTCAGGAAGAAGGAAACCATGTGAGTTAGAAACACGGATCCGCATAAAGGAAGAGTGTCAGAGAAAGAATAAATTCAGGTAAAATAAACTTTTTTATTTTTATTATTCTTAATTGAGCTAATATATTTCTGTGTGTTCCGAGTAATAATGGTAACATTATGTGTAGGGTGATGAGGCCCATGACCACGTGGGAGCAGAGCCGCAGGTGACGGAGGGAGGGCGAAGGAAAGACGAGTGACAGGGTCCTTGCACTACTCACAAAGTGGTATAACAGTGCTTGAAAGTGGATTTACATTAGTTGTAAATGTGTATTTCACACTTAGGGCAAACAATAAAGATATATATATTTTTAAAGATTTTATTTATTCTAGAGAGAGAGAGAGGGCGAGCAGGGGGAGGGGCAGACGGAGAGAGAGAATCTCTAGCAGACTCCCCGCTGAGCACGGAGCCTGACGTGGGGCTCGGATTTCATGACCTTGAGATCATGACCTGAGCCGAAATCAAGAGTCGAACGCTCAACCAACTGAGCCACCTAGGTCCCCCAATAAATATATTTTTAAAGAAACCCATAATTGATATGCTAAGATAGGAGAGAATATGAAATCCTATCAAATGTTCAATGAAAACTAGAGAAGGCGGAGAGGGGGGAAAAGAAAAGAACAAATACAATGAATAGAAAAGACGCTAAGCGTTAATCAAAGTATATCAATAATCATTCAATTAACATTAAATGTGAATGGTTTAAACACACCAATTAAAAGGCAGATTGTCAGAGTTGGTAAAAACACTAGACCCAATGACATGTTGTCTACAAGGAACTCACTGTAAATATGACGACACAGTTAGGCCAGGAGCAGAAGGATGGAGAAAAACATACCATGCTAATACTAATCCAAAGAACACTGGAGTGGCTGTATTATTTTCAGACAAAGTAGAATTCAGAGCAAGGAAACTTATCAGGGATAAGGAAGGGCATTACATAACGACAAAGGGGTCAATTCTCCAAGAAGACACAAAAACCCTCAATGTGTTTGAACCAAACAACAGAGCATCAAGAGATCGGAGGCAAACAAGGGCAAAACTACCAGAAGGAGAAGGCAAATCCTGTCTCTGTTATAGTTGGAGACTTCAACGCCCCTCCCTCAGGGACTGATACATTGAACAGGTAAATAATAAGGACACAGTTGTCCTTTTTTTTTTTTTTTAAAGATTTTATTTATTTGACAGAGACAGAGACAGCGAGAGCAGGAACACAAGCAGGGGGAGTGGGAGAGGGAGAAGCAGGCTCCCCACTGAGCAGGGAGCCCGATGCGGGGCTCGATCCCAGGACCCCGGGATCATGACCTGAGCCGAAGGCAGACGCTTAACCAACTGAGCCACCCAGGTGCCCAAGGACACAGTTGTCCTTAACAGCATTATCGATCAACCTGATCTTACAGACACTTAACAAATACTCAACAGCAGAATCACAACGTTCTCCAGCAGGCTGGAACATTCCTGGAGGCAGACCACCTTCCGGGCCACCAAGTGTACACAGATAGCCCAACTCTGCATATATTCTTTGGCTTAAGAGACAGACTGAGCTATAATTCACACACACAGACTGTGCTGTCGTCAAGTGCACAGTTCAGTGGTTTTTCAGACTGTGGAGTCGTGCAATCTCTACTGCTATCTGATTTCAGAACATCTGTGTCACCTTGAAAAGAAACGCTGTACTCACAGTCATTCCCCGGCAGCCGGAAACCACAAATCTACTTTCTGTAGGGAAAGATTTGCCGTGTCTGGATATTGCACATAAATGGAATCAGATCACATGCTGCCTGTGTGTCTGCCTTCTTTGGCCTAGCATGACGTTTTCCAGGGTCACCAATATGGTGGCATCGATCCCTGACTGGCTGGATAACATTTCGTTGTACGGATACTCCACTTTTCATTTATCCTTCGTCAGCTGATGCACACATTCGGCTGCTTCCACACTCTGGCCACTAACAGGGCTGTGAACGTTCACGTGCATGTTTCTCTGCAGACAAATGCTTTGGGTTCTCCTGAGCGCACCTAGGAGTGGGACTCCTCCGTCATAGGGCAGCTCTACGTCTAACACCGTGAGAACCGTCCATCCGGTTCCTCAACCAGCTGCACCATTTTACATTCCCACCAGCGCCGCTGAGGGTTGCCAAGGTCTCCACATCCTCACCAGCACCCGCGGCTGTCCGTCTGTCTGTCTGAACCATCCCAGTGAGTGTCGGAGGTATCATCTGAAATGCCACCATGATTTCACCCAGGGCTCTGAATGACAGAACTCAGAAATGGCTGAGGCTCCCACCACCCTTGCAGGATTGCTCTTTGCAGAAACCTTCGCTTCAAGAAGCAGGAGTTTTTCCATTTACAAAGATTATTATGTTCTAGCCACAAAGAAAAATAAGAATATCTTACTGCCTCTTTCCATAGGATTACATCCCTAGCGGGAAAGCAGTGTTAGGTGAGAAGAGCGCCTGACGCCCTTGGGATGAATATGTAGCCTCACTTACCTGCCGGGGGCCACGCCTTGATGTACCCCGTGCAGTGGACCACAGCATACTGGGCCTCCCCTTCTTTCACGGGACCAAGGCCGTTCCTAAAGAAAGAGCGCTCGTGAGACGGCTCTCAGCCCCTGGCGGGAAGGCAAGGTCACCGATGGGTCCTCTCTGATCTAAGCTCCTGGGGTCGCGCCTGCCTTGTGGGTTTGAACGTTGCCTTCCCCCCAGCCTGCTTTCCCTCCTGCGAAGCTGCACCCAGCTCCCCTCCCCGCTCAGCCCTGCAGCCCCAGCCCGGATGTGCGCACCACACGCCCCTCCCTGCACTCGGCCCCTCTTCAGGTCCCGCCACCCCCCCCAGCTCGGCACACTTAGGCTTTCTAGCAGCGTGGCCCCAAACACACGTCAGAAAAGCCTACTGACCTGAACCTTTTCCTCATGGTGGTTATTCTGTTTAGAGGGAGGTGATCCAAAGGAGCGTTTCCACACCTGAGATTCGAGAAATCATTACAATGAGTAAAGACCCAAGTTTATGAAGCCCGGAGTGTTGCAGTCAGAAAGGTGGGTCTGATCTGATGCTCACACACCGATCCGGGTGAGCCCAACAGCCGGTTCCCTTCCAAAGTGTCGAAGCGGGCTTGCGCGCCCGGGGACCTGGATCGTCCCTGAAGGCCAGGGCAGTGCGACCCACCGGGCAATGCTCGGGGCCCAGCCCGGAGGCTGGAGACACAGAAGGACTCCAGGGGATCCTGGCCACGCTCCAAGCTGCAGACTCATGTCTGTGGCACTGGGTGGCTTTTGGGAAAGCAGGGAAGTGGGGGATGACCGCGGTAGCGTCTCTTCACGCCTCAGCAGAGACAGCAACTCAAAACACATGGTGCCCGCTGGTGACAAGAAACATCTTCTCGGGCTTGGGCTGCAGTCGTGGGACCCTGCCTCCCACCTGCCCCGTTCCGCTGGAGAGTAACAGGGCCGCCACGGCCCCTGATGGCAAAGGGCAGAGTGGGGACAGAGGGCAGAGCGGCCTTTCCAAGGGTCCTTCCAGGGAGGCCAGGCCACTCTGGGGGGGCCTTTCCCGCCTCTCTCCTCCATGGCCCCCCAGGCTCTGAACAGCCTGGTCTGCACCGTGGCCAGAGCTGGTAGCCACTCGGTCTACCCCGCCTCACGTGGGCTCCCTGTTCCCAACTCCACGACAGCTAACGCCCTGGATGTCTTCCTACCCAACACGGCCAAGGTAAGGGTCCAACTGTCCTCTGAGCCCTGGGGCCGCTGCCGGCACACGCGCGTCCCCCCAGCAGGGCCAGTGCAGGACCCCGCCGCCTGGGCGAGCTCGCCCGGCTCTCAGCATCTTCCTAAAACTAACCCACTTTATTTGGGGGCAAGGTCGTGCGCTCGGCAGATGAGAGTGCCACCCGCCTCACAGGTGCATCCGGGTCATGTGGCGCCACCTGGGCGGTGCCCCCCGGAGCCCCCAGGGCAGGGAGGGGGCTGCCTGAGTTGTCGTGATGGGGCAGTGCTCACGGCATGGAGGCTACTGGCAGATGCTCCCGGGGAGGGCGTTCTCGGGGGGACGGCTTGGGGCTGCTGGCGTGGGTGTGCTCTGCTGACCCGCGTGTCGTGCCAATGGCCTCCCATCTCATTCGGGGTAAAAGCTGGTGTCTTATGACTATCGGACGTCCCAACCTTACTGACGACCGTTCCCCTCACCACGCCCGGTTCACTCTGCTCCACGAGAGTGGCCTTCTGGTTCCTTGAGCATGACGAGAACATCCCTGCCTCAGGGCCTTTGCACCTGCTGTTCCCTCTACCTGGTGTTTTCTTTCCCCAGACAGGCCCAGGTCTCCACTCAAAATGTCACCGTATCAATGGGAGCTCCCCTCATCTACCTACCAACTAACACATAAACTAGTAACTCCTACTCCTTCCCAGTCCTTCTTCCATTCGTTTCGTTTTCCTCAACAGCACTCACCACCATCGGGCATTTCAAGTATCTACGTGGTACTTCCGTCTCCCTGACTGAAGTGATGCTCTAGACGCTCGGGGGTTTTGTTTGCTTTATTCCGTGCTGAGCCCTGGCACCTTGGCAACCACCTGGCGCAGGCAGGCCCGCAACATAAATGTGTCGAATAACTGAACGAATGAATGAGAACCATCACCTCGTTTTAGAGCCTCCAGAATCCCACACACCAGGCAGACTCCCTGTCAGGCGCCTCCCGCCCGCTCCCGACAGGGCCTCGGGGTATAGGACGGTCTCAGCTGGACGTGAAGTCTCAAAACCCCAGTTCTTTCCTCTCCAGGGACAGAAACTTCTCTAATTACCCCCAAGGTCAGTCACTCCTGCATGTCCTCAGCAGCCATGTGCCAGCCACACTCTGCTGCAGGCCACGGGGGCTCAGGGAGGCTAACTCGGGGCACTCGCAGAACCGAGATATTTACACTGAGAACATCAATCGACAGTATCAAACTTAAATTCTAATTAAAATGTATGATTTGGCACAGGAAACCCAAAACTATGAAACCGACCGATCTTACATAAACTATGTTGAGAAATGCGGAGCCTGGAGGGCTTGAAGAACCGGTAGAAAGTTGAGACCTAGGGGACAGGGGAAGCCAACCCGGGAGTGGGCAGAACGCGGCGGGAAGTCAGGCAAAGTGCGACGGGAGGATGAGGGACGAGGGTCCACCCAGACGGACCGCGGGGGCTGCAGGCTCGCAGGCCACAGCTGGGACCCCGATGTGGGGCAGCAGCAGAGCCCATGGCAGGACAGAAGGAGTGGACCACCCACAGCCACGGCCCCTCGGCACCCCACACACCTCATCCTGCAGATGAAGGACCTCCGTGAGCCCATGCACATCCTCATGGAAGACTGCTGCCCCTCTTTCTTGACCGTCCCCGTCTTCAGGTCCAGGATCCGGCCTAAGTGAGAGAGGGACACAGGTGTAAGCCTCTGCCTTCGATGGGGGTGCGGGGTCGGGGCGGGGGGAGAGCTTTCTCCAAACACTCTGCAAATGAGGACAGACAGGGCTGTGCAAATTGTTTCTTGGATCCCCAGCATTCTGTCTGGGAACACGCGGAGCCACAAAATCCATATGGTTCTAAATGCCCCGTCTTCTTCGGAGGGCTGTCTACACCTGCTGTTCCCGCCACCGTCTGGAGTGATTCCAAGTCGGTTTCTCCCCATCACTTCATGGAGACAGCATTTGCCAAAGTTGCCAGAAACTTCCTTGCTGCTGATCCCAACACCCACTTTCCTTGGTCTCCGCTCCTCTCCTCCCTCCCCTCACCCCTCAGCGACCTCAGCTGGGCCACTGAGTCTCCTCCCCCCTGGGCACCCCGACCAATTTTACCCACTCCAGGGATGGCGGCCTGGATGACACTGATAATCCCGTGCACACGCCTCTAGCACCACCCCTCCATCCCCCCGGCCCCCGACCATCACCAGCACCTCCCACTCCTCCCCAACGTCCCCAAATGCACCGCCATCCACACGCAAGTCAAGCTCGGAAGGCCAGACGCCCTGTGGGAGTCCTCCCCTCCATCACCCCCTGCACGCCCACCGGTCTGTCCATCTCCTCTGCCTGCCTGCCATCCCTCAATGGAGACTCACGGGCTCCCAGCCTCCAGCCTCCTGCCGGGGCGCCTCGCACATGGCCCCCGGCTGTGCCCACAGCATGCACCTGACTGCCCGCCTATGGGAGCTCCTCACGGGGTGCTTTGGAACTTGGCCCTGTCCCGCCTGGGCCTTGCCCCATGGCCCGCCCTCCAGCATCCTACAGAAGTCTCCCTCTACAACACCAAACGGCCACGGCTCCATCACGCGTGTGACCCGGGCACTCAGCCTTGCTGGCCCATGGTGGCTTTGTTTGTTTTTTCTTTTTTTGCAAAATGGAGGCGTCAGATCTCGTGCTCAGGATTGCGGTGATGGTGTGTGATCTCAAACGATCACGTCACACTCCTTGAAAATCTTCCATGCTCCCCACTACGGGTTCTCAATAAACCCCAAGTCCTTCTGCCCACCGTGAGGGGCCCCCCCCAGATCTGGCCTCTGGGGCTGCACCTGCCGCACCCCGCCTGCCCCTTCCCCCGCTGCTCCAACCCCGCCCAGCTCAGCCAGCTCGCTGTCCCTACCCACCCCCTTGTGCTGCTCTGCCTCCTGAGGCTCTGGGCCTTCCCAGTAGCTCCCCCTTCCCTTCTCCCACCTCCTGCTTATTGTCCCAACTTACCCCTGCATTTATTTTATTTTATTTTTTTTTTAAAGATTTTATTTATTTGAGAGAGAGAATGAGAGAGAGAGAGCACATGAGAGGGGGGAGGGTCAGAAGGAGAAGCAGACTCCCCGCCGAGCAGGGAGCCCGATGCGGGACTCGATCCCGGGACTCGATCCCGGGACTCCAGGATCATGACCTGAGCCGAAGGCAGTCGCTTAACCAACTGAGCCACCCAGGCGCCCACCCCTGCATTTATTAAATGCCTACAATCTGCTGGGCGCCCTAGAAGCACAGAGTTAATCAGGCAGAGGACATGAGAGTCTAGCAGGCAAACAGACAGCAAAACCCAAAGAACAGGATGGGGGGGCGGGGGAGGGAAGCGGGGACGCTGTCAGGTGGGGATAAATGCTCTAAACAAAAATAACGCAGAGTAGGAATAAAAACATGACCAGAGACCCACCCCTTTGCAACAAATCACTCAATGGGTTCCCATCACTTGAAATTACAAGGGCCCTGAGGAAGACCCCCCCCCGAGGCCAGGGTCTCACTGCGCCAGGGGGAGAGGGTGTGCAGGGTGGGGGGGCCAGCGCCTGGGGGGCTCTCCCTGGGCTGGAGCTGGTGCCTCGCGGGCTGTGCCCCCCCAGCACCCACAGCGGTAGCGGGCGCACGGCCGTGCCCACGGTGGCCCGAACATCTTTAGGCAGCATGCGCCCACCAGACTTGAGCCCCACGGAGAGGCCCGCGCCCCGTCTGCCAAGGGCTGTGGCGCTGCCCGAGCGGGGGCCCCGGGCAGCGGCCGCCCCAGGGCTGACACCTGTCTGTCCACTCGCAGATGGCTGCTCCTTGCGGCTGTTTCCAGGGGAAACTGTCACTCACTGTATCATCGACCAAATGGCAAGTGGTTTCAGCTGTGAAGCAGGCCAGCCTGAGAGTCTGTCAAATTCCAAAGTGTGCTCTGAAAATAAACCACGGCTGCATAACACACGAGCCCTGGAATACGAGGAAATGAGAAAACACGTTTCCATGATCTGCAAAGGACCCCGAGAGACGATGGCTGCCACGTTTGTTTCTCTGTGTGCTTCTCCAGTTTCCTCGGGCACAGGGAGCCCCCTCTCCAGGCTCCTTGGGGGAAAGCACGCTTAGCTTTATACAGCGGATGTGTTCCTGAAAGGTGGTCCATGAAACTGGGTTTTTGACAAATCTGAAAGCAGCGGAGACGTACGGAGGCAAGTGGCCGCCCCCCAACACCGGGCAGTGAGTCCCGGGAAAGGGGACCGGGGATCACGCTCCGTCCCACCAGCAACGGGGCGTCGGGCTTACTTGCAATGGGGCTCCCCTGCAGGGAAGGGGACACGGAGCCGTGGCTGCTACGCGCTTTGCTTCCAGTCTTCTCTCCTGGCCCACAGAACCCTCGGGTCTGCTTAGAACCATGGGGCTGGATTCCCAGGGCTGGTCCCACTGGGTCCCTCAAAGCACAATCAGTCCGACTCCTTCCAGAGTCCAACCTCATCCCCGGGGTCGGAGGACTCACTCTGCAATGCTGTCCCAGAGCGGCCCCACTACCAATCAATCCCAGCCTGCTCCCCTCGGCGGATGCTGAACCCCCAGCCACGCGGCCACCTCTCATCTCTGTACTCCTCATGCATGATCCCTGCTCCCCTCCTCCCCTCTGGGGTGCTCTCTGGAATGCCCATTCTGCAAGAGACAGACTCCTACACCCTCGGCTTCTTTCAGAAGTTCCCTGAACCCCAAGTTAGCAGACCAGCCCGACTGACTGCTTCCCCAGCAGCATGTCTTCCAGAGAGGAGGCGTACCCTCCCATAACCCAGATGCCACGTGGTCAGAAGTGGGCCTGCCTCTTCCTCTGGCCCCAGAGCCCTTCCACACGGCACTCCTGTCTATAACCCGCAGCTCCTTCCAGACTCATGAGTCTGCCTGGCGCACCTGCTACGCCTCGGTCTTCCCACCCGCAAGTCACTCCTCGTCCACATCAGACTCCAGCTTGTTACACGTCTTTCTCTTCACCTCCAGGCCTGCCCGTCATCGGACTTGGTCCCAGCACCCACGTGGAGGATCCCCCAACATCCCCACTCAGCGCTTGCCCTCCTCCCAATGGCAGCCACCTCTCCCACCACGACGTTCTGGAATATGAGGCACCCAAAATGTTACATTCGAACATGCTGGTAGTCCTCCCACTCTGGTCCCCCGCGTCACCAAGAGTCCAGCATCTGAGCCCTCAACACCTGTGGGCTTCCTTCCGTACGTAAGTGATGAGCTTCCTTCCGGGCGTGGATCTCTGGATCCGCTCTCAGAGCGAGCAGGGCCCACGGGGAACCATGGCCAGCTGTGGCCCAGAGGCCCAGCCATCTTCCCACACAAGCAGCAGCTGTGGGAGCAGATGTTTTTCTGGACTTGATGCACGGAGGAGAACCATTTGTGAGTGAATGGCAGAGCCCCAGCCTGAAGTATCCTATTCCAGAATGAAGAGGCAGCCAGGATCAGAGGCGCAGCCCCTGTGTGAGTGGGTTATGGGGGTTTGAGCAGGCTGCTCCATGTTCTCGCAAGTGGAAGTCAGGACCAGACATGCCTGTTCTGAAGGTTATGTGGAGAACTGAAGACTTACATGCAGAAGCTCAATCAACCCCCTTCAAGAATGAGAATATAAGCAGTTGGCGACTCCAGGCAGCAACCCCGTGAGCTCCAAGATGACAACAGCGCCCTGGACTGGAGCGCCATAGGTCGGGGGGGACTCCCCTACAATCAGCCCAGCCCTGGCCTCCAGGCTTCTCTGAGTGAAGAGGGCATTCTGGAAGGTTCTAGAATACTGCATACAACACTGTCTCTGGCTTAAAGGTTGAAGAACTACTTAATTTCCCCTTAAAGTGCTTTTATTCTAAAACTAAAGTAGTCTTTTGGAAAAATCAAATATGCGCACACATACACACACGCACAGTAAAAACCCCAGACAATCTTCCTGTCCAGAGAAAAACACTATTAACAGTTGGGCATATTTCCTGAAAATCTTTTTCTACACATGCCTACTCTTTCTTTTCATCAACTGAGGTGCCGCGGTATGTATTTTCCCACCTTATGTCACAACATAAACTCACAAGAATGTAACCATGAACGTTATTTGAAAGGCTCTAAAGCATCATTTTGCATAGATGATTTACCATTGGACATGAAGTTATTCCCAGGCTTTCCACATGGCAAATAATGCCGTGGTCAGTAAATGGATGGAAAAAAATATATATATATCCATACCATCTTAGGACAGATTCCCAAAAATGGAATTACTGCATCACATGTGGATAGGCTGTCAACACCAACACCTGGTCTACTCTAAGCCTTGCGTGAACCTACGGTGAGTTCTGGACTCCACTCCGTGTTTCCAATCCATGACACGGGGAGAATTATGACACATCCCAGGGATTTCAAAGACAATTTTTCTAAGTCGAAAGCATAAAATGCCCTAGAACAGGAGTTGGCAAACTGTGTCATCTGACCCCAACCTGGCTCACTCTCCCTGTTACTTAAATATTTATTGGAACCCGGCCACAGACATTTACTGATTTATTTACTGTCTCCGGCTACTTTCCTATTACGATGGTCGGGCTGAGTAGTTATGAAAGAAACTATAGGACTCAGAAAGCCAAACATCTCGACTACCCAGCCCTTGACAAAAAACATTTGCTGACTGCTAGTTTG